AAGATCACTTGGTTCTAAGTGATCATGTAAAGGAATAGTGTTTCACAAATATATTTATTTTGGATTATACAAATTCTAAAGTTTGAGAAGTACTAATTTGAACACAAGAAAGTAAAAATAGTCTAATTGTGAATATAGATGGAAAGTACATTGATAGTAGAGATGGGGATCTATGAAATGAAGTCACCCTGACTTTGCTATTCTTTTTACAGAAGTAAATTTCTTGTTGGATTTTTTAATAGTAATACCTCAATGATTGCTTCCCAAATTAGAGGATATGCACCTGGGATTATGAGATAGTTTCCAGGGAATTACAAAGCTATACATTGGGTCTTGTCCATTGACTTGGGTTGTAAGATTTATTAAGTAAGGGTTAAGTGATTTAAAGCATTTTTCTTTAATAAACTGGCATATTATGGAATAAGATATAAAATATTTCCTGCCTTAAAAGATAAGAGTCCATTTTTATTTTTTTTTGAGACAGAGTCTTACTCTGTTGCCCAGGCTAGAGAGCCATGGCCATTAGCCTAGCTCATAGCAACCTCAAACTCCTGGGCTCGGGTGATCTCCTGCGTTAGCCTCCCTGGTAGCTGGGACTACAGGCATGTGCAACCATGCCCGGCTTACTTTTTCTACATATATTTTTAGTTGTCTGACTAATTTCTTTCTGTTTTTAGTAGAGACGGGGTCTTGATCTTGCTCAGGCTGCTTTCGAACTTCTGACCTCGAGCGGTCCTCCCACCTTGGCCTCTCAGAGTGCTAGGATTACAGGCGTGAGCCACCACTCCCGGCCAAGAGCCAATATTTTAAGGAAATTTTATTCTTGGATGGTTTAATTTATACTAGGTTTTCAGATGCTCTTGTGGGAATGGTAGTCTTTTTTTTGGAACACCAAGAAAAATCTACTGTGACAGTCCACAACATGTAATAGTTAGGAATATGCTTCTGTTCCCTGGGTTTTATCCTGATTCTGCCACTTGCTAGTTCTATGACCTTGGGTAAGTTGTATAAACCTTGTATCTTACTTTTCTCATCTTTGAAATGGAGATGATAATGGTATCTAGGGTAGATGTAAGAATTAAATGAGTAATATAATGGTAGGTGCAAGACTTCACACATTTGAAGTGCTCAGTAAATTTTAGCTCTGAATAAAAGTTCAGGTAGAGTTTTTCTTCCATATTTTGTATTTCCTGATTAATTTTAATATTGGCCAGAATAATAAAAATATCTTAGAAAAGAAAGGCTTAGGAATTCTACAGATGAAAGAAGACCAATGAGACATGAAAACTTAAATATAATGCATGATACTGGATCAAGAAAAAATACTATAAATATAGGATATTATTGGGAAATTCTAAATATGGATTATTTATTAGATAATAGGATTATATTGATGTTAAATTTCCTGAATTTTGTAATGGTAATGTTAGCAATTGAACAGTATGGGTGAAGGATATATGGACCTTCAGTGAACTAGTTATGGAACTTTTTTAATAGGTTATGTTGAAGGATGAAATCCACATTCCATTCAATATCTGAACTAATAAGACAATGAATTTATTGCTTACTATAGCAAAGGACAGCTATGCTTTTTAGGCACAGTTTCTCTGGGCACAGAGATTGCTAATTTTATAGTGGATTTTTGGGAAGGGTGGACTTCAAATATTCTTGGACTTTTGGGATCCTGAGTGGGTTGATACCATCTATAGCTGTGTGGTCACTTGAGTGATACTGCTGTTGACTGATTGGCACTCAATGAGATGGGCTTATCGTAGTGAGTTTGTTCCTGACTGGCCAACTTTCATAAACAAGAGCTGTCACAGATTGATTGACTTGAAAAAACTTGCTCATTTAGGTGAGTTTTTATTAAAACAGTTCTGGTGGCTACCTTTTGCCATAGCTATAGAAAAGTCTTTTCCTAGCAATCTAGGAACTTAAAAATATTACCAATTTAAAATTTTTTATAATGAAAAAGTTTAAAATATTGTTAGAACCAGACAAACTACTATTATTTTGTGTTGAAGGACATCTGGAAAGATAAGATTCACCCCTAAAATGAAAAAAAAATATTTTTATCATTTTATTTAAACACAAAATTAGTTATGTTCCTTGTGGGGAAAAGAAAACCCTAAATAATATAGAAAGGTGCAATGAGTGAAAATCACTGCTTACTACTATCACCCAGAGACAGTCACTCTTAACATTTTGCTGACTCTTAATTTTTTGCTTACTTGTTTTGAATCCTGGCTCCCCCTTTAATAGATGTGATACTTTGGTCAAGTTACTTACACTTTCTGTGCTTCAGTTTTCTCATCTGTAAAATAGGAATAATAATACTTGTTTATTGAGTTGTGAGGATATAATGAGTTAATCTAAGTGTTAATAAAACATTTAAAACAGTATCTGGCACATGGTTAGTGCTATATGTATTTGCTATTGTTACCATATTATGTCCATTTTTTATACATTTTTTATTTTAAAGTTTCTGCAATTGGGATTTATCTTAACAAGTGATAATGATTATGATGGGCAGGTTTGTTGTTGTTGTTATTCTTTCCTTTGTGGTCCATAAAATAATGGTATGTCTTAGAATTGATGGTGTATCTTAGAATAGATAAGATGCAGTATGTGTGTACCCATTTTTTCTAGTACAGAAATGAGATCATACAATACATACTGTTTCACACTTTTAAAAAATTTTATAAGGACATATTTTCAATTTAAAATACAGATTTACTTGATTCTTTATAGTGACTATGTTATATATCATTATGTGGATATACTATAATTTACTATTCATCTATTAATGGACATTTTATTGTTTGATTTTTTTTTCTTGTGGAGGATTTTAATAAGTGGAACTTGGGGAAAGAGGATAACTCAAGGGAATAACCTGAGTGGAGATTGAGACAAAAAATTATATTTGGGGACTGTTTCTATTTGACTAGACAGGAAGTTTGGGGCAGATTATAAACTGCATTGAGTACTGGGTTAATGTCTTTAGATTCTTTTAAGGTTTTATGGAGCCATTCAACATTGAAGAATAATTGGAAATAAGTTTTTTGTTAGTTTTACCTATAACCCTATCCATATAGTATAGATGAGTGGATTGATATCAACCTAAGATGGCGGTGTTTAACATTTTTGTTAATAATGATGATGTAGAAAGTATGAATATGCTCATTAAGTTTTCATTTGTGCTTATGAAACTGAAGAATAGCAAATAGATTGGATTATAAAATTAAGGTTTCAAATTGTCTTAACAGGGTGCCATGATGTTGAATCTAAGGTTTTGAAAGTTTTTTATGGGTAATTGTAAGATTTTGCTCTTCATTCAAAAGAAACTAAAGAAAAAAATCCCACCAGGACAATTGCTCAAGTATGGTTTGATTTAGCCAGCAGTACATTTGGAAAAGATGCATGGTTTTAATCAAGAATTAGTTGTACACTTTGGGAGGCTGAGGCGGGTGGATCGTTCAAGGTCAGGAGTTCAAAACCAGCCTGAGCAAGAGCAAGACTCTGTCTCTACTAAAAATAGAAACAAATTAATTGGCCAATAAAAATGTATAGAAAAAATTAGCCGGGCATGGTGGTGCATGCCTGTAGTCCCAGTTACTCAGGAGGCTGAGGCAGAAGGATCGCTTGAGCTCAGGAGTTTGAGGTTGCTATGAGCTAGGCTGATGCCATGGCACTCTAGCCGGGGCAACAGAAAGACTCTGTCTCAAAAAAAGAAAAGAAAAAAAGAAAAGAATTAGTTGTATTAGTGGAAGTACCTCATCTGGAGAAGATATTATCTAGTTTGTTCTAATTATACCTTATTTGTAGTTTGAAGTGCCACACTGAAAGCAATATAAGTTGGAGTAAGTTTCGAAAGAGCAAACAGAAAGGTGAAGGAACTCAAAACTATGCTGTATCAAAAAAAATTGGGGTGTGAGGGAAGGAAGGTAAGGTCATGGCAGTTGTCTTTAAAGTAGTCCAGAATGGTTAGCATGGCATAAACTATGACCCAGTATAGCACTATTTTTTTCTTTCCAGCATCAGTTCCAGCTATTTCCATCTATTTTCCCTCATTTCCTATGTTCTTTGAACATTCCATAAACTTTTAGGTATATACCATACTGGTATATAAGAAGAGGAATCGGGCAGTGGTATCTGAGGAAACTTGAGAAGGGAGATACAGACTAAGCAGTGCTAGAAAGAAGCAATTGATGAATTCCAACTCAAATTCTAATTAATTATTTTTCTGTTCATAATTTTCTTATAAACTTATTGATTAAATTGACTTTAAAAACTGTTTACAGAATACACATTTAGTTTTTGAATTCTTTTTTACATTAAATTGGTATTATGGTCATACATTATTCATATTGAGCTGAAAATATTTTGCAATATATATTTAAATGTGAATATCAACCAAAAATCAGCACGTTTTGACAGATGAGGTAACATAAGCTTCCATATAGTTCACGAGTAGGGCCTTTATTTTATTTTATTTTTTGGTTAGTGTTAGTTTAGTTTTTTGTTTGTTTTTTTTTTAAAGGAACGAGGTATTGCTGTGTTGTCCAACCTGGCCTCAAACTCCTGGGCTCACACAATCCTCCCGCCTCAGTCTTCACCTGAATAGTTGGGACTACAGGTGCCCACCATTGTGCCTGGCGTCTTTTCTATTATTTGTGTCACTCTTTTTGAAAATATTTTTACAATTCAGTTAATATTTTAATTTTTTTTTTTGGGTTTGCTCAGAGATTTTTGTATTCCCTTTAAGAGGAAGGGGCACCTTGATAGGATATTGCTATTATGGATTGGATTATTAAAATGCTTTGTGAGCTTTTTCTGTTGCCATTAATTATTCCACACAATATTGTGTTTATTTTATAATCGAAACTGTGACTAGGTTCATTTATTTACTTGAGAAAAATTGAGCATGGATTTTGGTATAGCAAATATTGAGTTTTAAATTTTCACTGTGGCTAGGAGTCAATGATTTTTTTTTTTAACAGATCAAGAAGTTGGTATATGTTTACCTGGTTCGATATGCTGAAGAACAGCAGGATCTGGCACTCTTGTCCATAAGCACTTTTCAGCGAGCTCTGAAGGTAAATAATGGAGTGAGTAGGCAAATAGTTACAAGGTTTCTGCACAGTTGAAAGTGTGTCATTTAAAGAAGTGGAGCAATAATCCACTAAATAGCACAGTAGTGTCTTGAAAGAGTTAAAAGGCCTCCCATAGTGCCTATTCAATACCCTTGGAAAATAGTTATATAACCAACTGGAATCTTGCCATATATGTTGCAGCTTCCATATGTTTATGTTCAATATAATCCTTATCATTTATCAAAGAACTGTTTATCGTTATACTGACAAGTTGAAAGTGTACAAAAAGTGGACATAAGACATTTTAAAAAATAAAATTTATGACCTGTATGTAGCATTTTATTATGACAAAATGCTAAAATCCCAGCACGTGTAGTATTAAATGATCAACCAGAATTATAACTATTAAAGAGAAATAAATTTATTTACTTTTCTCACTTTTTTTTTTTTTACCCATTTTCATATACTGGTTGTTCATTTTAAATTAAGTAAATTTTTTTTTTAGCTATTGTTCTATAATATTATACCCTATACGTACCTAGAAACTATGTCATAAAGATGTCTTTGAAATATTATAAACTTGAAATTTTGATAACTATTTTTGCTCTATTTTTAGGACCCAAACCAACTAATTCGTGCAAGTGCTTTGAGAGTTCTTTCAAGTATTAGGGTACCCATTATTGTACCTATCATGATGCTCGCTATTAAGGAAGCTTCTGCTGACTTATCACCGTATGTTAGGAAGAATGCAGCACACGCAATTCAAAAATTGTACAGGTAGGTGCTTTGTTCATAGTATAGCAAAGATCTCCAATGTTACCTGGAATATTATAGACCACAGAGGCTTATTTTATTAACTCTTAAAACTAGCCTGTCCTTATAGTAAGTGAATCCAATGTTTGTATTTTTTTCCCCTATAAACATTCTGTATACATCTTTAATTTTGTTTTGGTTATAGAGACCTTATGCAGGTTTTTATTTGTAAGCCCATTAGGGCCTATGATAATTTTGAGATTTTACAACTTAAAAATAGTCAGAATTTGAATTCTCAATTATATAGTCTATCTCCTGTACACATATGCACATATTATTAGAAAATTAAAATTTTTTTTTCCTGTTTACTGTAGGTTAGAATCTTAAGTGTATTATCTTCTCAACACACATTTATTTTCCTTTCTTTCATATTTGTTCCTGCTTCCCCCTTCCTTGTCTGATTCTTTTCCAGAACTATTTTATTAAATAATTTAAAAAATAGTAATTTTTGAACATAGTGCCATACCATATTTGTATGATATTTTAGTAAATATCATACAGTACCCTGAACTCTTTGGGAAACATATTGTCCAAATAGAATTATCTGCAGTAAGTTGGTATTATTTTCTGCTGTCATTTATTCCACAAGCGTTTTTGAGGTCCTTTTCTGTTTTTTTCTGGTGTTGTATTCACAGTATTGTGCTATGTGCATTAGATGTGTGAAAATGCTAGAGGATGTGGTACTTACTTATGAATAGCGTATCACATAATTTGATGAAGAAAATCAAACATCATCCAAATAATTAAAGGCAAAGTTTAATTGAATAAGATTTTAGCACATAATATATGTGTATGTGCAAAGGCATACTAGCAATGTCTTTGATAGGATAGGGGCCAGAGATCATGTTATAAGTGTTACCATACAGTAAAGAAGTAATGAGATGGGATTTGGAATGAAAGACTACTTTGATGAGGGGGACTTGAGCTGGAATTAGACACAATTAAAAGGTTTGACTGTTCAGATAATTATAATGATTAATAATAAACTTAGATAATGTCTGTAAAAAGTAAAACCTCATATTCTTAGGTTAACTGTCAGGCAAAGTTTTATCATGTTTCTCATCATTATCTTTTCACATTATACACTTGTGGAGTAAGATCCAAGCTCGCCATGATGGTTTAAAAGTCCTTCTGTTATTAGTCTCCAGTTTACCTCTTCAGCCTCAACTCCTACCTCTCCCTGCCTTGAACTTATAGTAGCTCAGTACTGCCTGTTAGCCCTCTATATCAAATGTTTCTCATTACTACCTCTTATTTTTCTTGGTTTTAAATGGCAGGTTTCATAATGTATATCTATCTCAGTGCAGTAATGTATATCTGTAATAAAAAAATGACTGCTATGTTGTTACTTTTTTCCCCCAGTTGAAAAAAGAATTTGTGGTTTGTCTACTAGCAGTTACTTTCTTATGGTGTTCCAACTTTTTTTAGAAGTCAATTTGTTCTTTAAATACTTTCTTAATGGCATTGGTATCTGGTTTAGCTGTTAGCATCTTCAGAAGGAAAGATAAGGGCACATTTACGGGGAAAACCATCCCATTTTCCTTTAAGTTTGTTTTCTGATTGTTTCTATTTTGAACTAATTCTTGCTCTCCTACCTCTCTTTAAAAATTTCTTGGCATCCTTGAAAAAGTGAGCATCACTTAAAGCTAGAATTAAAAGGAAAAAATTAATGTAAGTTCTTTTTATATTTTAGTCTTGATCCAGAACAGAAGGAAATGTTAATTGAAGTAATTGAAAAACTTCTGAAAGATAAAAGCACAGTAAGTATTATCTTTTTATGTCATTAAAGTAAAATTGTGTTTTATTTACATAGTATCATTTACCCTGTATATTTGATATAATTATTTTTATCATTTCAAAATTATATAAATATTAATGGAGCTCATGTTTATTTTTAAAATCTTTAGGCAACAAAAATTTCCACATAATGAGAAATATTACATTTGGAATTTTAGTTTGTTACAGGTTTCTTCATCATAGTCTGAAGAAGGACAAGTTGTAAAAAAGAAAATTCTTTTCTTTAACCTATAGCTAAATTGTTGGCTGCTTTTAGAGTCAAAGTTTTTATTTCAAGCAATGATTTATTAGGATTTTAAAAAGCCCAATCACCTGGGAACACATGATTGTCTTAAACTGAATAATTAAGAAGTATTAAAGAGCTATTGAAAAAGAGGTGTGTTTTAGTATTTTAAGTGTGCTTTTAAAAAATAATTAGGACATTTTCATACATACAAGGCTATTTTATTGGCCATTTAGAATTATTTTATTGGCTAAAATTAGTCATCCTTTGGGAATGTATATGTCCCTTCCTTCCCCCTTCACTACTATCATTTTTTGTATGAAGTGGCATGATAGAAAGATGTAGGAATAGGGGCAACTTGTGGGATCTGTGAGTTGCTGGTGTATTGGTATCTTATGTGGTTCAAAACTACTGAGGAAAAGGATTCCAGCTTGTTTTAGTATGCTATCATTAGGGAGTATATACTATGTACATAGCAGCTTTTTAGTATAGTAGCCACTAGCACCATGTAACTATTGTTTTCTGGCTTAGCATATGATCTGTCCTAGAGAATGGTCAATGTACAATTGAGAATCCGTGTTCTGCTGTTGTTGAGTAGAGTATTCTGTAGATGTCTTTTAGGTCTAATTATTTTATAGTGTTCAAATCTTCTATTTCTTTGTTGATCTTATGCCTACTGGTTCTATCCATTATTGAAAATAGTGCATTGAAGTCACTTCAATCCTGTCAGTGTTTGTGTTGTATATTTAGGAGCTCAGATGTTTGGTGCGTATTATGTTTATAATTGTTTTATCTTCCTTTTATCATTATAAAATGTTCCTCTTTATCTCTAGTAACATTTTTTTGTTTTAAAGTCTACTTTGCCTGATATAAGTACAACTATTCCATCTTTCTTATGTTTGCTGCTTGCATTATATATCTTTTTCCATCCTTTTACTTTCAACCTGTTTGTATTTTTGAATCTAATGTATGTCTCTTGTGGACAGTTTATATAGTTGGCTCTTCTCTTTTTATCCAGTCTAGCAATATGTGCCTTTTGATTGGATTGTTTAATCTGTTCACACTTAATGGTACTATTAATATTAATATAGTTGGATTTTAAACTGCCATTTTACTTGTTTTTATATGTCTTGCCTTTTTTCCCTCATTTTTCCTTTATTGCTTATTTTGCATTAATTAAGTGAATATGTTCTAGTGAACATTTTAATTATTTTAGTGATTTTTTTCACTATATATTTTTAAAAATATTGTATTATACATGGAGATTATACTTGGAGTTTCAATCCTAGGCTATTCAGCAAATTTCTTTTAGTCTATAATGTAGTAGAAATATTCATTTCATTTCTTCTGTGCATAGTTTGTATAATATAGGAATAATCAAATATAGATTAACTATAAATGAAGACAGAGAAAACAAATTTGATTCCTTTTTATCTTCTGTATGACAGGCATGCTATCTTCTTTTACCTAGATATGAAGTCAAGATTATTGATATTGTGGTTAACTATATTTTAATAATTAAAAAAATATTTATTTTTTTTTGTGCAAGGTATTTCCTAAGTACCATGGAGAATAGTAAGATCTATTAGTACAAGAAACAGATCCCTTATTTTAATCTAGTTTACCATAACTTCTGATCCATTATAGACCAAAAGAAATTTGTTGCATTGCCTGGTAATGAGATCTCTCTATATAATGTGTGCATGCATTCCCAGGCAGGATACAGCATGTTACAGGTGAAAACTGTAGTCTTTGGGATTAGATAGAAATGGATTCATGTCTGAGCTTCTGTCACTTAGTAGCTATGTATTAAACCTTCATGAGTTCAGGTTACCAAATGCATAGGGCTTATAATTTCTAATTTATAAAGTTACTCTTTGGGTTGAAAGAGCTATTGTATATAAAATTCTTAGTGTAATGCCTAACACCATAATATAGGGTGTTAGTAAATATTCCAAATAAGAAAGAAATGACTCAAAAGGAATATAAAGGACACAATGTAAATTTGGAATATCTGTTCTTGATTTCTGACCATTTATTTTCAAAATATAGTAGAAAGAAAAAATATTGAATACTTGTTCATAGTAGATATTTAATATTTGTTGAGTGACTTTTGAATTAATTTTTAAAATTCTTGGTAATAATAATTAGGTATTTGGTATTATTTTTAATCTTTTTTCCCTCAGATGGTACTATGCTCAGCGTTCATAGATAGATCTTTTGGGGGCTTTGAAGGCCTACCCTTTATGAAGCACTAATTCTTCTATGTTTTAAAAATTAAAAACACACGTTTCTTTTCATATCTATAGTAAAATCCAGAAGTTTTTACTGATATCTCTAATTCTAGTACAACAGCACAGATTGTCTTCTGCCTTCCTCCCTTGTTATATTTATAACTTCCTCTCCAACATTAAGAAATGTGGCTCCTATCATCCACGACATACATACTTTTTGCTCAGTCCCAGAGTGCAGAGAAAGTGTTGTTTCAGAACTGCTAGCACATACCTCTGTGAGGAGTAGTAGGATGGGGACTAATACCTAGAGTTAAATACTGGTTTAGAGTTGTTTGTTTTAATCTTTAGTCTTATTTCTTTGATGCTATGGTAAATCAAAATTGCTTTATCATTATATCCTTGAATTTGTTATGTTGATATATAAGAAAGTTGTTGATTTTTTGAATGCTAATTTTATATCCTTCTTTACTGAATTCTTGTGTTGTTCAAGTTAGTTTTCTCACTCGTTCTCCTTGTCTTTTTCCTAGAAAATGAATCATATCTTCAATTAGAGATATTTTTCTTCTTTTCTAGTTCCTAAGGTCTCTAATTTCTTTTATCTAATCACACTGATGAGCACCATCACTACCATGTTCAATAGTAGTGGAGATGGTAGACATGCTTGCCTTGTTTCAATCCAAAGGAAATACCTATATGTGTTCACAATAAGAAAAATACTGGTCCTAAGGATTTTCTCTTTTTCTTTGAAATATAATAGTTTTGCAAGGTGCTTCAGGGTTCGTTAATATGGGCAATTTTTTTTCCTTGTACCTAGTGAGTCCTTTCAAAATGTGAATTCAGAACTTATTTCTGCTGGCAAGGTAGGTTTTATTTTTTTAATTATTATTTTAAATATTAATTATATTTGTTATTTTTCTTCTTCTTCAAGGATTCCAGTTTTATTCACATTGGATCTTCTTTGCCTAGTATTTCAACCATTGTCTCTTTAAACCTGTGGGACCCGTATGGTCCATTGCCTGTTAGGGACTGGGCTGTAGAGCTTCCCCTGTCCCTATCCCCATCCCTGTCTTGGAAAAAGTGTCTCCTATGAAGCTTAGGAATCTGGGGTCGCACAGCAGGTGGTGAACCAGCATGAGCTTCATCTGTATTTACAGCTGCTCCCCTCCCCATCTCTCACATCGCTGCCTGAGCTCCTCCTTGCCAGCACCCCCATCCCCCCATCTGTGGAAAAATTATCTTCCACAGAACCAGTCTCCCTACCCCCACCATGGAAAAATGGTCTTCCATGAAACTGGTCCCTGGTGCCAAAAAGGTTGGGGACTGCTGCTCTAACCCTTCTTTCTTGTTCACGTTTTCATTCTGTTCGTTTTCTACCTTTCTTTAATGCCCCCTATTAAATTTTCATTCAGTGATTTTCTTCCAGTGGAACCTTGCAATTTAATCTTCACGTTTGATTATTTTTCCCCCTTAATTTCTTTCTTCTTTCTTCTTTCTTTCTTTCTTTCTTTCTTTCTTTCTTTCTTTCTTTCTTCTTTCTTCCTCTCTTTCTTCTTTTTCTTCTCCTTTTCCTTTCTTCTTCTCCTTTCTTCCTTCTTCCTTCTTCCTTTCCCTCCCCCCTCCCTCCCTCTGTTGCCTGGGCTACAATGCCGTGGCATCGGCCTAGCTCACAGCAACCTCAAACTCCTGGGCTCAGCGATCTTCCCTCTCCCAAGTAGCTGGGACTACAGGCATGTGCTGCCATACCCGGCTAATTTTTCTATATATTTTTAGTTGGCCAATTAATTTCTTTCTAGTTTTAGAAGAGACGGGGGTCTTATTCTTGCTCAGGCTGGTTTCAAACTCCTGACCTTGAGCAGTCCTCCGGCCTCAGCCTACCAGAGTGCTAGGATTACAGGCATGAGCCACCACGCCCAGCCTTCTTTCCTACTTTCAATCAACTCCTGTTTCATTTCTTCCTGATTCCTTTTGTTCAATTTATTCACTGTTTTTGAATTTCTAATTCATGTTATTTTTCTATCTTTAGATACTTCTTTTGAGGGTATTTGATTCATTTTGGAGTGTTGTGTTTCCTTTTGCTTCACCATTGATTTTTTTTTTTGTGGGTAATTTTCACCAGTTGAATTTTATGATTTCCATTTTCTGTTTTTAATGCTTGTGGATTATTTGCATCTTTGCATGGACAGGATTTGTGGTTTGATTTTGAGGTGGCTGGCAAGTATTAAGAGCACTCCCTCTGTTGGAATAGCAAAGTATGTTTTTTTATTAGATGGCTTTTTTGGAGGAAGGGCATGCATAGGGATGGGTATATGTCTTAAGATTATTTTATGATATATTTTGAAATATATTTTAGGCTCGTAGGAGCCTAGAATTTCCTCTCTTATTATTTTATTTTATTTTTTTTGTCTGTTACCTCAGTTTCTGAGGGGCTCTTCTCCCTCTACTTTTTTTAAACTAATTTTTTCCTTGAAAAAAGGAAACAGTTTTGGGGGAAGGGCATGCATAGGGATGAGTATATGTCTTAAGATTATTTTGAGATATATCTTGTAGGAGCCTAAAATTTCCTCTCTTATGTTTTTTTCAGTTACCTCAGTTTCTGAGGGGCTCCTCTCCCTCTACTTTTTTTTAACTCATTTTTTCCTTGAAACTGTTTCCCTTTCCAAGATGGCCTTATTGAGTTGTCTTCTCCATTAAGTCTTTTCCTTGTCATCTGCTCTGATCTACCAGGAATCTTTTTCAGTATTTTCACACTTAGGGTGTTTTTTTGTTTGTTTGTTTGTTTGTTTTTCTAATATTGATTTTAGTTTCCTCTTACATTTACCACTAACCCCTGTCTGCTTTGTTCTGGGTAATTTTTTTCCCTATTGTCATAGGTCTTTGTAAAGTTTTGTAATACAAGCATGAAAACAGCTCTCTGGGATTTAGGGCTTATTTTTCTACTTATGTGTGCTTTAAAGTTTTGAGTTTAGGTTAGGGCATAGGTTTTGGTCCTTTGGTTTTGAGGGATTTCGGTTGGGAGATTCAGATTTACCTGGGCACCATTAATTTGTCTACCCAGTATTTAAATTGATTATGTTTTGAGAATGTTTTCCTTTGTATGATTATAATCCATTATGGAAAGGTTAAATGTATTCTGATATCCACACAGATATTTGTGGATCTTATCTTAATTATTAACCTTTTTTGGTCACATCTAATATTTTATTGAAGGAAAACAGGTACATTTCCTCTCTCTTGACACTTAAAATCAATAATCACAAATCATTTTTATTTAACAATCTCCCAATTAAACGAACCAGGTATAATTTATTTTCACATTTTAAAAAGGAATTTATTTGCTGTCAGCAGGTGTTTCTTGGTATCATTATCAAGATGATGACGTTAATATCACTGCTGGTAAATATAAATTTGAAAGATGTTACTCTATTAAACTTTCTTCATTTAACCTTATTGATTTTGAGACATATCTTCTGTTGCTTCTTTTAGGCTAGAGGAAGATTTTCTTTCAATTGAGATCTCAAAGAAATTAGCTCTGTAGTTTTCATTTTAAGGAAAGATATAAGCATATTAAAATACAATAGAATGGTTTTTGCCTTTCATTAGAGAAAAACCAATATTTGTCATATGAATAGTTCTTTCCTAAAAAGAAATCACTTTGGGTTTAGGAACACGGCTATGGTAACATAACTGTAAGAAGATTTTTAGTGTTATTTATTTTAGGTAATTATTGTCTGAAGGTATATGTGCATTTTAAAACATACAGAAACCTTAGAACTGTAGTCAGTGAAATTAAAAGGAAACATTTAATCTATATTCTATCATCCCCAATTAACTATTATAACTTCATATATTTTTTATTGTATATTCTTAAATATTGTACCATTTTCATTCACCTTCTCAACATATCCTAACTACTTTTCTACTTCACTAGAAACCTTCCCTAATGTTCACTTATGAATTCATTTTAAAAATTTATAACATTTTCTCTTATTTTTCTTTAAATGTAAAATGTAGAAATTCATATTTGTTGAGCAATTAAAGCTTAGAAGTGGACATTCTTTTGTTTAGAATATCTCAAAAGCAGGGTGATATTTATTTCCTTTTCCTTTCAGGTTAAAGAAATCATTTTGATAGCATTTAACTTTCTAATAGAAAACAGAGTTTCTTAGGAAAACAAATTACGTCAGTGCCTATTGAAAAAACAGATTTTCATATTTTTTTGATGTCATAAAGTTTCCTTAATTTTTGTTACCGAATTATGTTTAATGAATAGTTCGGTAGTTTATAGCTAAACTATAGGGGCAAGACGCCATTTTATAAGTTATTGATTTAATGTTGGTTTTAAAAGCCTCACTGTTATGGGCAAAAAAACACACCCCTGAGTTTGTGCAGATGTTTTATTGTGATAGATCTATTATCCAGCTATTAGAAGATAAATGACTAATCTTTCCCATTTTCCATGCCTCAAGAAAATTGAAATAAGAAGGGGAATATCATTTGGGCTGTATGATTAGGGCAAGTTGGATGGCCATTAATTTAAGGGAAGAAAATCTTGGCAGCATTGGCCAACTTATACCATATTATCAATCAAACCTTGATGCACTTCTTGTGATGACCCAGCACTCTCAGGTTTTTGCAACGTTAATTAGAATTCATGACAAAATAGATGCAAGGAAACGTTTTGTACCCTTCATAATTTTATAGAAAATTTATTGTTATTAGAGGAGCCATTTGCTTAGTGTGATTTTTTTCATTACCAGCTTGTCAACTAGCATAGATAATCTGGAGAAAATATGAACTCCATAGATGGGGTGTCACTTTTGTTGATGGTTCATGTAGTTTACCTTGGAGCACAGCTAATGGCCAAAGTTCATAGCAACAGCACAGAAAAACGTGGCAACCAAGGGAAGATAAATGAACCATGTTTATTGCTTTAATATAAAAAATACATAAATGGAAAACTGCATTTGAATTTGATGAGCTCATTGCTAGTTTTGTTGCAGTGATTTATTTTTCCCGTTCTATGAAAAGCTACTATTGACATAGTGAGATGGAAATTAACTGTCTGTTTTTTAGAAACCAATATTTTTGGTTTTAAAATCTGAGTAGATCATTTTATTTTAATTCTGAATGTTTTATAGAATATTGAACACTTAATAGACCAAAATTATTAATTCTTCTGCTAGTGTTTAGCCCAGGGTCAGATTGTTAAAACTAGGCAATGAAGTATCTAAAATGGTCATTTTTATTTCATAAAGGTACCCTCTTTACATTCTAATTATTATAATGTTTCTATAAACCTTATTTGTCCTTAAGTAATGAATACTTTTTTCCTGTTTATGATATTTGTTAGTACTTTAGAATGTGTTAGTACTTTAGAATTGTTGTATACTTACAGCTCTTGGTTTAATAAATTTAATATGTGGTAGCTGATTTTCCATTTAATTGTTTGGTGTCTAAACACCTTTGAAAGAAAAGAATTTCTTGGTTTAGACAAATAACTTGATTTTACCTAGTATTTTTAAAATTAAAAACTGTTGAGTTACCTGTTTAATTTCATGGGTCATTTTATTCTAAGTGATATTTTTTTATTTTTGTACTTTAACACTTTGCCAATGATACAGATATATTAATATGAGATTGATATATAAATAATATATAGAGATGTTTATATCTCACATATAATGAGTTATTTTATAGCAAGATGTCATAAACTTATTTGTTTTAAGAGATTTTTAAGTGATACTAATTCTAACCTTACAGAAATATGATTATCACAGAGTATAATTTCTGAAGAGTAATTTATGCAGAAGAATCACAATGTGGAGTTGAGAACACAAAGTTAACTTCCTTTCCACATCAATAGCAAATAGAAAATTATATGTATAATACATTTTTATTTAGTTCACACAGATAATCAATTTTTTGCTTTTTCTATTGAGGTGCATACATGCTGGGACCAGCAGGCACCAGTACATGGGCAGGGCTGGAGTCAATAAATGCGGCTTCACGTTTATACTGATTGGTAATTCATAAAATCCCCACAGGACTTGAAACTTGTTTAGCATAATAGCAAGTCTATATTCTGAGCTGTTTTCTTTCAATTGTATTGTTGGTTGCATATTAATAAACTAAATGTCAGCCAAGTAGAGGGACAAACACTCAAAATATGAATATCATTGTATCTAATATTTTTCAAAAAGTACCATTTCAGTAAGTTATATTTCTATTTAATTGCTTATTTTAAGTCATTGGGGAAATTTTAGACAGTAAAATGAAGATCCCTAGTGTTCAGAAGGAATATGATATTAATTTGTTTTTTCAGAACCGTATTATACTGTTGGGTAACTGCATGTATATTGTAGTACATATATAGAAGAATTTGTATATTATATATCCTGCTTAGCTTGTATCTTTATACTAAAGAAATCTTAATTTTACCACTTTTGAAAAGCATGGCAATTAAAAAATTAGCATTTATGGTTCATTAACTAGTCTTGGAGAAGGCTGCCTTTTGTTGGTAATATATTATTCCAACTTTACACATTCTTATAAAAGTGATAATAGCTCAGGTGATGTACTGAAATTTCAGCCACTGTGTTTTCTTTGTAAATAAATTATATTGGTAAAACAGGTTAATTAAGATGTGTAAGATTTTAAAGTGTTTTTGTACTAAAAACATTTATGAATTCCTCATATACTTTTAAACATAAATTCATTGTGAAATTATTGCCATTCTTATTTTAAACTGACACAATATGATCCTTGTTATTGTCTTGATTCTTTTTCTGAATATTGTTATGAACTAAGTAATACATTTTTAGATAAGAATTTAGGTTAGCTTTACACATGAAAAATGTGCATAAATTCCTGTTTCTGAATACTCTCAAAAGAAAAATGTGCATAATTAATGTTTAATCCATGTATGAAAAATTTATTGAAACTTAATCTTATGGAATAAAAAAATTATCAGAATTTACCTCTCTTCAGAATAGTATTAGTTTTCCATACATATTACAACTATTAAAATTATTCTTCAAGGGAGTGGTATTTTAAAATTTATTTGTTATTCAACCATGAACGTTCATTTTAATTGAATGACTGAATATTTTAAATATTGACTGTCATAATATTGATTACACCATTGTAATGCCTGAGTAGGATCTTTGATGGGGGACAGAAACATTTTTTAATAAGTTACTATTTCTTTCTTTCCTAGCTCGTAGCTGGTAGTGTTGTGATGGCCTTTGAAGAAGTATGCCCGGATAGAATAGACCTAATTCACAAGAATTACCGCAAGCTATGTAACTTACTAGTTGATGTTGAAGAGTGGGGGCAGGTTGTCATAATCCACATGCTAACTCGATATGCTCGGACACAGTTTGTCAGCCCATGGAAAGAGGTAAGTGTAGAATAGTCTTCCACTTATCAAGTATACTAAGAGAATGGATGAACTTTTAAAATGTCTATAAAAAATTTACCTTTATATGAAGTTATTTGTTTTCTTTGTGCAGATTAATATTAGAAGCATACTATGTTCTTTTCATTATATTGAAAATTTAGAAAAATTTTATTATATGATTTATAATTGAGATCACTCAGTATGTACATGTTTAAGATTGAAATGTAAACTTGTTTAAAGAAATCCTTAATTCCTTTTCAGAATAGCATATTTATTCTCATCTTTTGATATGTCATATCTTTTTAAAATACACTATTATAGATTGAAAAAATAAAAGATTAAAAACCCCTATTATGTAAAAGTGGTTTGTACACAAACTTATGAATAGTCCTTGAGTGTTTAGCACATCTTGCTTTTGTTAATTAGAAATAATATTAAAGTGAGGGGAAAATGTTCACAATACATGCTTTAAATGACATATCAAGCTTATAGATATTTGTCAAATTTTTATCAATATTTTCTACATTGACTTAGTATTTGTTAGCCTTAAAAACTTTTTGAAGTTTTTAATATCTTTCCAAAAGTCCATAATATTGACTCCATCTCAATTTTAATATTAACAAAGCAGTGATGTTCTACTTAAAAATTGAAGTATATTTTGAATTATTAATATATAAAAGTCTTATGCTACTTAGGGCTCTCAAATTGATGAAATTTTACTAACTTTGTATTCTTTAATTTTATAAAGTTAATTTTATTTATCATCAGGCAAGTACAGTTTTGATGGTGCTTTTGTTAGATTAAATAGCATGTCTAGATAGAAATGTATTGGCCCTTTGATGGTAACTTTGACAAGAGATTTTTGTTGGCAACAGCTTATTTGTTTGATTTTAGCCAATTTGTTTCAAAAATGCTGCTCAGATTTTTCCTTTTCTGTAAGGTTATAGATAATTTTGGCTTATCCAACCACTGTCAGTACCTTTTAAACTAGTTTATTTTACTTTCCCATCACTGTCAAATCCTTTTCAATAGCTGTATGCAAATGATCCTTTGTCATTATGTAGAAACTGGAATTAAAATATAATACATATTTAACCACATCTTCTAAAAATGTGTAACATATATTAAAAGCTCTAGTTTGTCTATTTGTTTTATTCTTGAATTTTATTTAATCTTATTTTAGATAAAATTTAGTTTTAAAACTATGTGCAAAAGCAAGAAAGTTAGTTTCTACATTACCATATACATTTCTTCTTTTGACAAGTGATTGGAAATATTGGGATTATATTCATTCTTTGTGTTTTCACATGTTAATAACTCCTTGAATGTTAATTATTACAAACATGGGATTGTCCTTGGCATACTGGAATGGGCTAAATCATTTCTTTGCCACCTATTTGCAATCCAATCTTGGCATTATTGTAAATGTTGTGGTTTTTAGACTAATTTAGTGGTTTTCATATGTGTGCCTGAGCCCTCAGGATGCTGTAGCACTGCCTTAGGAACAACCAAGGGGGTAGTAATGCTCTGGACTGTGTAGCTTTCTGGGCTCTTGCCACTTTTTCAAACAGAGCAGCTTTTTTTTTTTTTTTTGCCTTTCTTATGCTGGTCTGTATGTGATTTCCTTTGAGAAAGATTCCTTGGCTTAAAGAAAAGAAGGAAAGAAAACCAATTAAATAGAAAATTTGTAGAAGTTTATCAAAATCTGACCATGTTCTTCTATGAATTAACCGAGAGGTTATGAGAAGATAATTTATTTTGTACTTCACAATGTACTTGAATTGCTACTATAACTAAAAAAAAGAAGAAGAAGAACATGGTCAGAGTTTGCTAAACTTCTACAAACCACTAAATTAGGGCAGTCAGAATTATTATTATACCTGTTTTATAGATGAAGAAACCAAGGTATACAGATTTTAACAACTCATATAAGATAATATTGCTTATAAAAGATTGAACCAAATTATAAACAGAGTTATCTGATGCCCAGGCCAGCATTCTTTCCTTTATATTCCATTACCTTACGACTTTTAAATTAAAATTTTTTTGGTTACTTTAATAAGTTTTTGTGTGTTTTCTTATTGTGTTCCAGTTAAAACCAACTTTAAAGCCCACAATTCACAGTGCTCAGATATTGCAATTAGCTGAAAACCACAATTAAATTTGCTTTTAAAGAGAAAAATCATGTTTGTTATTGAATTTTTAAAAACATTTAGAATGCTTGAGGGGTGGAAAAATTGTTATTTTGGAGGAATTGAAAATTAGTAGAAACACTTTTTGGGATGAATTGATGTACATGCTTTTGTCAATAAGTTCTTGAATGAACACATCATATACAAACAAGCTTCTTCAGGGGCAGAAGAGATTTTTAATTTAGTTTATTTGCATCATTATAGATCAGTATTTAGGTTGTTTATATGTAAATGTGTGATTTGAGGAACAATTAAGTGTTGACAAAGTAGATTGTAGTCATATCAATTGCAGTGCATTTTCCATAATTTTTCTAACTGACATCTTTGATGATAAATAGTGGATGCCAAGTCAAAGCCGATTATACAGTGCACTAGGAATTCATGGGGCTGTCAGGGAGAAGACCGATTGACTTTAAATTTACATATTAATGAGAAGATTTGTTAAGAGGGTGCTTGACTATAGAAGCACGACATTTTATAAATAAAGCTGATGCAGGAAAATGGAAATTAAACCTTTTAGGTTAATAAATTCAAGAGACCGCTAAAATGCATATTTGCATTTTTATTTTCTTAAATTTACCTTACTCTTTGCAGGCCATGTGAGTTGTTTTTTATTCTAGGTCAAGTTTGTATAATTTTCAAGGATATAAAACTAGTTGAGTATTTTCTTTGTCATTCGGGCCTATGATGGGAGAATATTTGAAGCATAAATGTAAATCTCTAAGGCTAAAGCTGCTTTTGTAGACTTAATGGATTTTTAAAAATAAATATTATAAGTCACAAACAAATTTTAAGAATGATAAAAAACTCAAACAATCCCAAGACCCTTTAATGGCACTAACTGTAAACTGAAATGAAACTCTAACACTGCCAGGAATGTTTTTAATTTTATGAATTTAGCTTTTTAAAATTGAACTTTTTTAAAACACAAAAATTGAACTTTTTCTAGGACATGACAGTTTTGCAAAAATTATCAAAATATTTTACTTCAGTGATTTACAACTTAAAGCTCTAGATATTCACCATTACCTTTTAGAATATGAATTCAGGTAATACAATTCTGGTGGCAGTATTTAGGGCATTTTGAAATTTGGAGTGATTAATTTACTTTTGTCTCTATATATCTGTACTTCAATTTTAAAACCTTATATAGGTTAATAAAGTCTGAATTTAGAATTTTGTTTAAAATAGTTTTAAGGTTAAGTTCTTAAGTTTTCCAGAGGTAGCTTTAAAATAAAAACTTGTAAAAACTCAATTTACATGAAAAGTTTTTGATTAGCGATTTTCTGCATGTAGAAAGGTATTTGGGGGAAGTGCTTCACATGAACTCCACATTTAGGTCCTGTCTTAAAGGACCCAAATGTTAGAAATTATTTTTATTGTGTTTTAATTTTCTTTATCAGTTAATTTTTTTGTGAAACAAATTTTGTATTGTGTTTTACCATTTTACTATTATTAGATCTTACTATTCTATGGAATTATTTTTAAACAACATTGTGAGGAGTTATAGTACAATCCATGCTTTACAATGCAAATAAAAGAAGTTTTTCTGCACGTTCACAGGCAGCTGTCATGAAGGGTTCATATATAGTTTAATGTGAAACTATGGACCATGATCTGATATTGAAATGAGGTCTCCTTTCCTCCCATTGGTTATGAAGCATTTATCTTAAAGATTCTTTATTCTTTTTGTTGTTCATAATTTATTTCTATTGTTTGGATTTTTTTTAAGTCATGGAGTTTTCCTTTTTAAAAAATTATTTTAAATTTTATTCAAATAGCATGTGGTTTTAAAACAAAAGTTGAATAATACTACAAGGCTTATAAAAAACATTTTCCTTTCTTATCCTTTCCTATGCCTGAATTATCTCTCTTAGTCCTTTTAGAGAGAGAGAATGTGTGTATGTCTGTATATATTTCCATTTCTAGGTAATATACATATATTACTATTTTTTGATAGTATTTGTCATTATGTATTGACTTCCTATTATAGAAATGAAGAATTTGGCATTCTTATATTACCTTATGCTTCCACTTACTCTCCTCCTCCTTTGCAATACAATTATAATTTTTTTTTTGTTTTTTTTTGAGACAGAGTCTCACTCTGTTGTCTGGGCTAGAGTGCCATGGTGTCAGCCTAGCTCACAGCAACCTCAAACTCCTGAGTTCAGGTGATTCTCCTGCTTCAGCCTCCCAAGTACCTGGGACTACAGGCAGGTGCCACCATGCCTGGCTAATTTTTTCTATATATTTTTAGTTGTACAGCTAATTTCTTTCTACTTTTAGTAGAGACGGGAGTCTCGCTCTTGCTCAGGCTGGTCTCGAACTCCTGACCTCGAGTGTTCCTCCCGCTTCAGCCTCCCAGAGTGCTAGATGTTCCAAACTCTTTATTTATCAGAATATTTAATAGTCTCTAAATATCATTTTATATGCAGTTGTTGAGATACATATAGTTGTCTACCAAATGTCAATTCCCTGTCCTCTCTTTAAATAACAGACTCCTGATTTTGTTCTGAGAATTAAAAATAATCAACTTCCTTTTACTCCTTTAGAGTCAGAAATGGCTATGTGACCCAGTTCCGGAAATTGGGATTCTGGGGAAACTATTATTTTTCTGACAGACTTATTTGACATACATACTTTACCCTTTGTTCTTTGTCAATATTCCTTCTCAGAATGCATATATGATGATTAGAGGTGCAGTAGTCATTTTATAAACATATGGATAAAGCCATACTCTGGGAGTGGATGAACCTAAAAAAATAAAGATTTTGTGTACTTGTTCTTTTTATGGAGTTACCTAACTAG